ATCAGTAAGCTGCAATTGCTAGATTTGAAAACAGAAATAAACTGTTGGAAATCAAGAGACGCTGAGTCCCCAAATGGCCACGCGCCTGTCCTTTTCTTCTGTCAGAAATGAATGCAGAAGGAAGGTAGGGAGTACCGTTTTCTACTCCCACTATCCTTTCTTCTAAAGCCCAAATCTTTGTCCCTTCATTACCTTGGACAAACTTTTCCTTTCAAACAAATCTGTAAGGATGAAAAGATGAAAAAGGGAAGACTGAACAAAGCAGTGGGCTCCCGGACAAAACCCCAGCCATTTAGCAAATGAGGGGTTCTTTCCACCTGATATTTTTTTTTTTTTTTTTTTTTTTAAGAGGAAATCTTCAATTAGCATCAATTCAAAGGAAAAAACCACAAAGGGCCTGGGGAATATTTTCTTTTTTTCAAAGCAGAGAGGAAGGATTCAAAGCTGCTCTCTCTAACAGATACTAATCTGGTCAGTATAATTTTAAAATCCTTTATGATGGGCCTGAAGGGCATTTGAACCCTGTGGTTGTTTAAAAAAAACAAAACAACAAGAAGATCTTCTGCAGTTTATGCATTTGCTTTGCCAAAAGCTTACCTTAGCAAACAAAGTATAGTAAATCATAGTTGCTCTGATTTACTACCTAGATGGTGCAGTTTATTTTCAGAGACAGCCCAGCAGAAAGCTATGTCATGTATAAACATATTCAGAGAGGGGGAAATCATCTTGCACAACTACCAGAATGGTAGGAACCACTCATAGGACATTACTGGAAAGAAATGCATGTATGTGCTCATTGAATTTTTCATGTTCCTTTACTCTGCTTTCATTTAAAAATCTCTCCTGGGGAGGCAACACAGAAGCAAAACACCACAGAGACAAAGCCCTCTCTCAAAGTTCCCAAATCTATATGGCGAGGTGCTGAGTAGGTTAATTTTGCTAACCCTTTCACCTCTGGACAGGAACTCACATCCATCTTAGGTCACCAGTAAAATGAGATTGATGGTCTCAGTGCAATTCCAATCGAACATTCAGCCATGACGCAAAACCAGTGTGCTGTTCAATCCAATTCAGCACCACTGGCGGTCTCCTGAAAAATCACCTGGACTGAACTGGAACAGGGCGCTGAGAGTTACAACCAAAAGATTCTGCCAGAGCTTTGTGGAAAGGAATGTCATAGAGTGGCTGCAAATGTTAGTTCAGTATCTAATCAGCAGTATTAATCCTTTGATTTATTACAGACAAAATTCATCTCTTTAACAACAAAATGAACTCTGCGCCTGTTCCCACTGAAGTCGATATGAATTTTGCTGTTGACTTTCCAGGGCCTAAGGATCAAACTTAAATTAATAGCTGCTCCCATAGCAGAGAGAGAATATCGGATGATTGGTTCTTATTATCAGCATCCCAAAATGTATTAGGCACTTTGCAAGCACCTAAGGAGATAGTTCCAATGCCAAAAAGCTTTTTACTCCAGATAATGAAGGCCTGGGTGGATTTACTATTCAAAAACTAAAATGGCTTTTCCCCTTGCTCACCAACCACGCTGAAAACATGCATTAGCTTAAATGGATATAAGAAGGATGAAGAAGACATCATGGACTGAGAGGCAGAGCCAAGAATCCTGGATTCCCTGAGCTGTGAAGGCGAAGCAGGCGTGACTCTAATCAGTGCTCTACTGCTTTTCAAATACCAGCACCAGAGCCAAGGAAAGAAAAATACACCTGATGCTCCTTTGAAACGGCAGTAAATGAGAGGGGAAAGGATCAAAATAATAACCCCAAAGCCTTCTCCTTGGCTTTTAATCCAAGAAAGAGTCATTAATAGAGATTTAAACTCAGCTTTCGCTAGTCTAAACATGTCACTGTTAATTACAAAGCTATTTAACTTTTGGAAGAAATAAAGGCTGCTATTAATGAAAGAAGAACCAATTAGCCTTTAATCTACACAGTTTTTTAATCAAACTTTCTTTTGATCATCATACGCACTGTGGGATGCAGTCTCCCCTCCCCACGCACTAGCAGCTCCCCCTATTGCGAATGGAATAAATTTTACAAGCCTGGCTGAGTGAGGCTGCAGAGAGGAGCATCCCTGCTGCAGGGAGAGAGCTTCCTTGCTCCAGGACCATTGCAGACTAGAACACTCCAGACCAGCTCCATCAAGGCAGCACTGCCAGGGACAGCAATGAGGTGATGTGCAGAGGGAACAAGGGATGTGTACATCTTTGGGGGAAATGTGGTGCAGCAACACTAGATCCATGCAAAGGTTAACAGAACATGCCAGGACATTTAAAGATAGAAAAGCGGGAAAACGGAAGATGAAAGAGGCAGAGATGGTTACTGGTAGGACACACAGTCTAGGCCACCCAAGTCATTCTCACAGGCACATAGGGGAAACTCCCTTTGGTAGTTCAGCAATAACTGCTGTGAAGGGTCAAGAGGAACACGAACCAAAAAACAGTCTTGAAAAAAGTGATACAGCTGAAAACTAAAGTGGGAGCTGATACAGTGGAAAAAAAGATACTGGTAAGAAAAGCATTATTGTGGTAGGATACATGATACCCCTGTGCCCTGGGGTAGAAAGTAACCTGGTCACATCTGGTACCTACAAACAAAGCAAATGCCACAGAGAATTCCTCATGTCACACAATTCCTCTCCTGGCTACTGCAGCCCTACAGGATCCTCAGGGATGAGAGGGGCTAGAAGAGCTAGCATAGTTTGGGATCCTATTCCCCCTACCCCCCCAAACATATTCTTTCCTTCCCCATCTCTGGCCACACAGTCCTACTCCTTGTCCCCAAAGACAAACTGAATGCAGATTAGGAGTCAGCAATGATTTTCCTCTTCTACCAGAATCCGGGAAGAAGAAAGTGCAGAAGTTCCCATTCATGCATGAATCCATAAGCATTTCATTAATATATAGGTAATGCAAGGATCTGACCTGTGGATGTGCATCTTCTGGACAGATGTTAGGTATTGCCTACACATAATTTGACACATATTAAAGTCAAACACAAAACTCTTGTTCTGATCAGATACACAATGACTGTGCTGCATTAGCACAATCTTTCAGCATGAAGTATATACAGGTCCTTATCAGCAACAGAAAGACAAAACTTACCAGAGAATGGTAAGAGCATAACTCTGACTAAGATGTTCTAACTAAGATGAACTGATTTAAAAATAAATGTTAATGCCCTGTGCAAAGCAGACACTTTCTGCACCACTTCCGAACCACTGGAAAAGCACATTTCCCCATTGTCTCCTCATAGACAGCAAAAAATTAAAAGGAAGAAAGAAAATCAATACATTCTAGAGATAAAAGTGAAAATGAACAGTGCGGTGCACCAGAGGGGCATTCTGAGCCACAGAGCTCATGCTAGCAATAATACGAGCATGTACTCATATATACATCAGCCACCAAAACGTTTTTATCATCCTAAGCAAGTAATTAATGTTAAGCACAAGTCATTCCAGTGAAGTCAGGAGATCTGTTCAATGTTTCACTGGACTGGGTTCAGAGTGCTCAGCACCTTGAAGGATTGAACCATTAATCTCAGAGTTGACTATGTAGTTTTGCTAAGAGGTCAGACAGTGGATTTGCATAGGATGGTTTGGATAGGGATGATCCTACCTCAGGAGGGGGTTGGATTAGATGACTTCTGGAGGCCTGTTCCAGCCCATCTTCTCTATGATCTCTCTGTGTCTCAGTAAAAGGAGGCTAATTCTACATCCCTACTTCAAAGGCTTGCAGGGAGAAGAGAAGCACCAGCCCTGCTTCTTCCTCTTGTATACCATGGGCCAGATTCAGGCATCTACACTCCACCTGATTTTAATGGGGGTTTAGGCACCAGCACAGAAGTTAAGCACCTAAATATTTTGTAGATCGGACCCTAAAGCAGCTTTGCATACTTCAAGGCCCTTTATTCTCACAGAGCAGCATAAAGGAAGTGAAGAGCATCAATGACAATTAGGGTCATTTATGTTTTTGAGGTGCCCAGACACAAGAGTGCTAGGGCTATACGAGTTCCACTAATCTAAACACAACTAGGTATTACCTTAAAAACCCTGTTTAACTGGGGGCTTTAACAGCCAAAGGGGGGGGGGGGGGGGGGGGGAGGGCAGCAGCATTTATACTTCTATAGCATTCTGTGACTCCCTCTCTGTCAATAAAATCTGGATCCCTCTTGGGCCATGCTTCTGCTCAGAGGCTGGGGGGGCTCTCACTTAACTCATCACTCCCCTGAGCCCAGTGTAGCAAACAGATGGAATAGTACACCTTAAAGAACCCACGGCTGAAAGTCCCTGACATTGAAACACATGACAAGGTTAATTAACTGGGCCTTCACACTGAACAGACTCACTTAAATGCTTTGCGTTTGTTTGCATGGTGCTATTAGAACAGCCTTCCTGACAAGCGCAATGCATTGACGGGTACAATGATTGGACATAACCTTGTTACAAGCACATCGTACCTTTGACCATCCTTCCTTTGCACTGACTTACCTAGATCTCATAAAAATTGGGGGCGGTTTTTGTGCCCTCAAGTTTAAGAGGTGCAAACTTTTCGGATACTTCTGCCTTGAAATTATGGAATACTTCAGTCCTGTAACTGCTCCCATCTCCCCCAACCCCAAGCCTTCACATTAGCACATTGTTTTAGATAAGTTGCCCTCAGAATCAAGGTTTGATACAGGAAAGCACTTAAGCACTTTCTTAAATCCACCCTACTGACTTGAATGGGATTTAAATATATACTCAAAGCCTTGCATGTGGCAAAGTAAGCATATTTCCTGAACTGGGAAACCATAAGGGTCTGAATTTCAGAGCTTCTGACCAGCTCATGCCAGCAGCTCAGTTAGAACAGTGTGTACTCAGCAGCTCTGCAGATAAAGCCTTAATATTATTAATTGGTACTGAATTAGCATCGGGGATTTTTCTACATCTTCAATGCAAAATTAATTGTAATGGTCATGTACTAATCAAAACTCTATACATACGTATGCAGTAGTCTCCACTTTCATAATATCCAGGGCAGCACTGAGATCTCCGCCGATACATTGTTCTTAGGCCTCTTCGATATGCTGTTTTATAACTTATTCTAAATTGCAAGACAGAAAGCCGTTTGACAGTATTGAAAATCAATGCCTACTGTTGGAATTATATTTGTGTTAAATTATAGCAAGGATAGCATTCAATAATTATTTTAAAATGCATGAAGGCTTTTGATATTAAAAACCACAATAAAAAAAAATCAATACTTATTTTGAAACTTGAAATATAACATGGATTATAAACACAGTATTCATGGCAGCCACTTAACAGAGGTCTTCTTGGGACTGCTACCTTAAAGCACTGCCTCAGCCCTAAGGAGAGAGCATGAAACATCTTCAGGAATAAACACAATTCTTCTAGGTGTAGCAGTAAGGTCAGCTACCAGGACTGGACTCAACAAAACACTCTATTGAGGCCATTTTTCAGGGTACTGCAACAGGAATCATTGTAATGCACATTTAATACTTGCTAGGTGGGACTGGAAATTAACTCCACAGTGCATTCTCTCCACAAGGTAACCTATCCAAGACTTGAGTGTCTTGCAAGATGGTGCAACATCCTGCATAGAAACCACTTCAAGACTGCTTCTAAAACAGCAGGCTCTTGTCCAAAAAAGTGCCAGAGTACAAAGCTTTCTGCCGGATTTTTAGCTTGATTTGTAACACAAGAAAGGGTGACACTTGGGAAAATGAGGACTTAATGACAAACGTTTGAAAGCATCCTTTCATTTTAATTCATCTGAAATAACCTTCTCCTAGGTCTTGGTCCCATCCTAGAACAGAAAATCAATGGTCCTTCCCATTAGACAAATCTCTCTCACTTACTCTCCTCTACTTCAGCTGAAACAATGCCGTAAGCAGGCATTGTTACAGCCTTGGACCCTGCCTGACAAACTAAAATAAGCCAAACTGGCAAGATGTTGAGCACCTTCAGCTGCCACCGAGTCAACAGGCTCGAGAACACTGAGTAGCTGACAGGATCAGACCCCTTGCAAGGTCTCCAGAGAAGCAACTGTGTTGGGTGTTTATCTGAATTTTTTTTTGTGGTAGGAATTACCCTGAGGACAACAGCTGATTCCATGCAGTCCAGAAAAAAAATGATCAGGTAGCAACAACTTTCCATTCAAGCCCCTAAATTTACATTCTGGTTTGGAAGCAGTCTCTGTAGCCTGGATCCATTTCCAGTTACCACCAGCCTGACTCATACTCAAGCCAATGAACTAGAAGAGAGAGAGAGACTGTGATACACAACAAGCTAGTCAGTCCCCTCTTGAATTATGCAGCTGAACTGCTTGAAATAGCTGGATGAAGGCTCATGCAAGAATTGCTGCCCCTTGGATGATCTGCCATGAGCCCAGGATTTATGGGCACACAAGACTTCTAAAACATGATCAACTCTGAGGATTTTTTTGCAGCGAGGCCTATATTTCCTTCAGTATCAGGGTGTCACAGAAGCTTAGATAAAGAAAAAAAAGCTACAGGGGGAGATGAAAAGGCAAAGAGATTAAAATATCTTGGGGATCAGCACTTACCTGTGTCTAGTGCACTTGAACCAGTTCAGTATGTCAGTACATCTTGTATAGTAGATCTGATCAAAAGGATGAGCGTAAGATTCCTGTACTGTTACAGCATAGCTAGGAATAGGCAAGGAAAGAAAGAGGAAAAGCCTGTTTGTTACAGCATATAAAGCTTTTATTTCCTTGACTTGCTCCCACACCTAACTTCAGCCTAAGACGCAACAACAATCAGTTTGGTGGGGACTCTGGCCATATCCAGAGCTAAGGAAGCCTTTTCATCTACTTTTTCCCCAGGACAGAATCAGAGTCTGAAGCCAGATACTTCCTGGAGCTCCTCCAAGGGTATGGTTCTGCTCCCAACTTGAGCCTACAAGGCACGGTTTAGCTGCACGTGGGGCATAAATTTAAAAATCTATTTCTCTAGGTTAAGAACAAATATGAATGACGAGTTTTAAAAGCCGAGGCAGGGAACTGGTAAACTGCAATATAGGGGAAAATGGCTTAGTCTAGAAAATGTACAAAACCTCCATGTTCTTAGATCATATCAGAGGCTTCCTACAAGGACTGTTAATATTTGCTTGCATTCCAAAATGCTAATGAGAGCACATATTAACTTAATGCTGCTGAGTTTCGCCAGCATGATGGGATCCTCACACTTCATTTTATGATGAAGGAGCATCATTACTTCAACTAATATTGGGAGCACCAATCAAAGAAGGGAAAATTTATGAAAGGTCTCAAGGGTGTTTATTTTTATACTTCATGAATTTAATCCTTTCTAATTTGTAGCAGAAACAACATAGGAAGTAATTGAAGATCATAAAATCACGAGTAAAGTGGTAACTGGGTTTGAGACTATTTGAGATTTGGGCAGACTGCGGCAATACCTTTTACAGAACTGAAGACTTTGCTCTGTACAGAAATGGAAGAAACTGGTTAAAAATTAAGATACGGGCAAGACCTTTTCATATACTAACTTCTCAGTGCAACAAGTACTACTTTATAGAGGGCTGTAATTTTCAAGAGAGCCTAAATGACTTGATTTGTTCTCCAGTGGCTGTCAATTGGGGGTACGCGTACCCCTAGGGGTACTTAAAGAGATCACAGGGTGTACGCAGAACAAATGAGAAAAAATTACTGTTTTATAGAGATGCACTGATACATCGGTCCCATATTGGATCGGCACTGATATAAAGTAAAATTGACTGCATCAGCAATTGGCTTTTTTGGCTGACATGGCCAATAATATGGCCGATAAGTGTCCTGTGCACGCACACAGCCACAGCACAGCATGCAGGCAGCCAGGAGCACAGCTTGGCAGCTTGGAGAACAGTCGGGTCCAGCTGGTAAGTCTGTTGTGAGGGAAGGGGCATGGGTAGGGGGTCATATAGAGGTCCCAGTGGTGAGGGAAGGAGCAGGGCTGGGCCTGGGGCTGGGGCTGCACAGCTGGGGCGGGGCATGGGACAGAGCTGTGGCTCATCCCGGGGGTGCAGGGAGGTGGGCAGCTCCCACCATGGCGCGCGCCCCGGGAAGTCATGGGGGACGTGTGCTCCCAGATCTACATGCAGGGCAAGGGCGGTCTGCCACTGCGGGCTGGGGCTGGAGTGGCGCCAAGCTCTTCTCAGTGGGGGCTGGGCCAGGCTGCGCTCGGAGAAGGTAGTAGCAGCGCTGGGAGGGAGGGTTATGAGCTGCCCTGGCCCCAGCCCACAGTGGCAGGCCGCCCCGCCCACCCCCCCCAGTGCCCCCGAAATGAGCTGCTCACAGCTCCGTCCCATGCTCCGCTTTGCCCCGCCCAAGCAGCACCTGCCTCAGCCCCAGCTCCCCTCCCTCCCTCACCGCTGGGCCCTCGGATCTGCACCCCTCCCACACACACACCCCCTTCCCTCTCTCCTGTTAATGGTAACATTAAAAACCAGAAAAAAAATAGAAAGGGGCACACGAGCTGAAACTCTGAAACAGAAGGGGTGCACTTGTTAAAAAAGGTTGAAAACCCTTGACTGAGATGCATCATCATAGGTGTATGTACCAGACAAATACAGATCTGAGGGGCTTGCAAGCTCCATATAAATCCCTTTGCACTGAACACAACCAGGCTGAATTTGTTCATTGCAGGACCAGGACTTAGGAATGAGATCCTGCATGGGATCCCATTCTAGCCAATGGCATTGCTGATGTGCTTAAGGTCCTGCAGCATCGTGCCATTAAAAATATTTGTCTGGAGGGCCTCAGTGGAAGGCCTCCACCAAGGTCAGCCAACAGGGCTATTAACACATTCATCTCCCTGTCACGCTCTGCAATTCTCTGGGCAACCGGGCTTCCAAAAGAGAGTCGCGTATGCTTTTTGTAGAGCACCTTGCAGGAGGTGGGGGGGCCGTGTTTAACTGACATTGATGCCAAATCGTAAAATATTTACGTGGCTCATTATTAATGTAAAACAATAGCATTCAAAAATCTTGATTATTATTTTATGATCCTGTTAGTTACCCAGCCCCTTACCCTAACTTAATCTTTTCCCTTTGATTTATTAACATCTAACTAACAAAGTCGTCTTGGTCAGTACAACCAATCAATTTTGGTATTTAATTTTTGTTTATCCTTGATTGGGTCATGAGGTTGCTGACTTTCCCCAGACAAAGATCAATATTTTACTCCTGTGCTCTGCATGCACCTCACCTTGCCATGCGACTGCAAAATACCATTCCTGCATGCTTCTTTTTACATCTGCATTTGACCTATAAGCCAAGTAATGCTCTAATTAGTGTGTCCAAAATCAAAGCATAATGAGCTTCATAACGCTGCTCAGCTCTGTATCCATGTTTACTCTTCTGAAAGGATTTACGGTGGTGGACACATGAGCTACATTTACTCCTGTGCTGGGATAACCCACAGAACCTGAGGAGGAAACTCAAGGAGTTCAAACTGAAGGAACTCAAGGAGTTCACACCAGTGTTATTATGGATGGTCCTTACATGGACCCCTGAACTTATGTGGCCCCCATGGGCACAGTGGCTGAACTACTCAGAAGAACCCACTTGCACAGGTGAAATTTTCAGAGCAGGCCTATCACTGTACTGGGGACTATGGGAGGGACTGACTATGAGGAACATTTGAGCAGCTTGCCCAGGGACAGGGCAGGACTATGAGGAAAATTATCCTTTCTGTTTCATGAGCAGGGCCTCTAGCCCATCAGGCTTCTTCATCCAGGGGTCTATCTGCACGTTCCAACTTCCTTTCACAGGCAGAACTTTCACCGATGCCAATGGGCATCTGGCAGATTAAACCACCGAGCTTTGGATACCCAATACAGTCCTGCATGTTGCTCCATCAGTACTCAAGGGCAGGTCTCTAACTGACCATTTCATTCAGCTTCCTGACTGAAAAACATGAAGGAGCAAGACAGAAGTTGTCCATCCAACCCTGGCTTCCTCCAGAATGCGCTGAGACACTCCCTCTAGCAGGGCCTGTGAAAAGGCATCTCAGAGCAGGGATAGGTGGTAGGGTACTATATTCACGAAACAAGGCCCTCAGGTGTAGCCCTAGAATGGATCCTTTTGGCGCTCTTGTATGCCATCCGCCACACAGCTTGTGGGGATGCTGACAGAACTTGACCCACAGCAATTATAATTTTGCCTTTAAAGTATACAAGTAAGAACCAGCTGTTAAACAAAAATGACACTGTGTATACACTACCTTTCCCAATGACTGCAAACGTTGGGGTCATCTGGATTTAAGGACAGAGTAGTTTTCAGTAGGAAAGACAGGGTAAGCACTTTTAGACTCCACCACAAGAGTATGCACACCACCATTCTTGTTTCTAGATAAAGAGAACAAAACAGCATGTATAAAGAGAGCACTTGCATATTTCCAACCGTACACCTGATCTTCAGCCCAGCATCAGACTGACTCTTGTTGCAGTCACAATCTTGGTAGTGCAAAGAAACTGCAAAGCAAATGTATAAGGGGCAATTATTTATTACTATAATGTGGGTGAAGTGATAATGAGCAGTACCATTTATCATGACATCTTGATAAACCTGGCAAGTAGTTTACGCCTTACATGTTTTATCTTTGAGATTTGAATACCGACTCTTCTACTATGTAGCACAATCTATTTGCTAAAAAGGTCTTTTAAAGAAGCTATTTAAAAAAAACAACCCTCTAATTTACAGATTACTGGAAAGTTTTCCAAAGACTTCACCCTCTAGTCAGATTTATTGCTGTAAATGTGTAGAATAAATTATTATATCACTTTACAGAATTCTTAGAATAATATAATGCAAAATGAAATAATATATTACTCACACATGAACATGCGCAAATCTCAACAAAACCTTGAGTGTGGCAGCCCCTCTCTGGTACCTGCAGACAGGCAATTGGTTAAATGCGGAAATATCAAAGGAAACAATTCAGAGCCATGCCCTAAAGGGACTCAAAGGCTTCCACATAGATTTTAGTCTAGTTGAGCTTAAATTTGAGGGCAAAGCTACCCAAGACACCAATAGTTCCAATGATTCTTCCTAGGAGCATTTTTGATACTGAAGATCATTTTTAAGCTGCCTTCACTGACAAAATAAATAACTGAGCCATTAAAATAATCTATTCTCCTATCAACCCATGGGCAAAACCCATTCCCATTAATTTTAATGGTGTTTACATGTGTCAATAGAGCAGGCTACATCTCAGAGACATATGCTTATTACATGACTGAAGGGAAATCAATTCACTTTTCAACTCTTATAAAGGGGAGTCCATTTAGAGTGACAGAGGTCAGCTTATTGCACCATATTATAAAGAATGCAGATGAAGAAATAAAAAAAAGTGATGTTGAATCTCTGAAGTAAACAAGTGTGAACTTATTGAGTTTGGTTTCCTCATCTAATACCTGTTAGAAGAACAAGATGTTAAGTCTATAAATAGTTTACACACAAATAACTATATTAAAAGAACATTACATCCGCAATATTAAGCACTCACCAAGTTAAGAAATGCCAGGGAAAAGGTTGCCAATGGCAACCTCTCTTGGGCCCCTTTTGGCATATGCATTATGATAGACATTCGTTAAGGACAACACACAGTCTTCCACAGGCCTTCTGTCCATTCAGTGCCCAGCCCACCCCCCAGACCTGCTCTGGGGATGAATCAGGAATCTATTGATTCTAGCACCCCACCCTCATTTAATGAAGGAATGAAGTAAGTGGAGAAAGAGACTGGGGATCAGAGAAGACAAAGGACAGCCTCGTGGTTAGGAAAGGTGAATGCTGCCCTGAAGAACCCAGTTCTACCTAAACCTCTGCCAAGGGGTCCTATGCACCACTGGACAAGCTGCTCAAACCACACTCGTCACAAGTGTCTACTCTTCATTTTACTGAGACTTAGTGTTTTCAGGTCCAATTTGCAGAAGGGCTGAGCACTGACTTGCAGCTGCAACTGATGTCATGGAACCCGCACTTCGCACTCATGAAACAATGTGCAGCGCTAATCACTGGAAGAAAGAAAGGAAATCCGGGTGCACCCCAAATAACTGAACACTTCACTTCTGTCTCAGTTTGCCATCTGGCAAATGGTGCTGAGAAAATAAGGGGAGTAATGCTTGTGAACCACTCGGATGCTGCAGTGATAAACACCACAGAGAAGCCAATATGGAAACGAGTAAAAGCAAAATTGGAATAATGCAAAGTAAAAGAGGAGGGTGGGCAAGGAGGAAGCCAAGTATTGGATAGTAGCATTGGGCAGTATTGGGCATTCTGTGCACAGAACCAGGTCACACGTAGGAGACGCGAGAGGACACAACACACCGCGCTGCTTAGTGGGGATGTCTCATGTGCAGTCTGGTTAGTGCTAGGAGATACCTGAACATGCTCAGGGAGGGCAGAATCCCCAGAGATTTTGGTCTCTGAGAATGTGCAAACTGCGGTTTTTCAACAGCTTTAACCTGGCCAGATTTTGGCAGATTTTCATAAGAAGAGCGATAGACATGGATACAACACAAATGCCCCTTCCGCACCAAATTTCAAGTACCTATTCCAAAGCAATGGGGCACAAGAGCTTTCCAAAGTAAAAGGTCACCAGAATTTCTTTTAATTTAGAAGAGCAGTGAGTTTTTTCCTTCTTCTTGTTAGCCTTGTTCTCAGACATGCCTGAGCCACTGCAGCAGAAATGTGTGAAGAATTCAGTCAAGGCAGACACCTGACCTGGAGAATTTCGGCCCCTAATGGATGGAAGTGATGGCCAACGAAAATCATGGTCTTCTAATAGGAAGTGGTCATGACAAAGGAGGATGAGTCTGACCCTTTTCAGACGGGAAGGGGAACACTCCTCTTTGGGACTCCTCAAAGAAGCAGCTTTACTCGGTCTTCCTGTCCCGAGAGGACCCCCTGCAGGCAGCCCTGGCACACCTTCACAAGGGGCAAGCCTCTGGCTTTGACGCCCTGCCTCTTCTCAGTCCCCGACTTCTCCAGTGATCGATAGCCCCCCGCCTCTGGGAGCTCCTTTTCAGTAAGCTCCTGGGAAGAAAGGAGGGTGTTTCTTTCTTTACAACAGGGTTATTGGATTGCTGATGTCCCAAGCATTAAGCAAATGCTGCTTCAAAACGGTCTTTATTGTGCCTCTCCAGTTCCCTCTGTCCTCGCTCGGACTTTAGTCTGCCCACCCTGGGACCCTTCCTTTTCCCTATCTACCTTGAGACCTTCTCTTTGTTTTGCCTGGTACTTTGTCCCCTCCAGCTGTCTCAGAACTTCACTCCTTCTCCCCGAGCTCGGTCAGCCATACTTGCTACACAGAGTTATAAAACTACAGTCTTAGGCTGGGGACAACAGTCACCCAGTATAATGAAACATTAAGTCATGGGGAACCAATCAGGGGATAGCTTCTGGGCCCACCTGCCAGGCCCAGACAGCCATCTACCCCTGGGGTAAAACAAGCATATTGATGCCCTATATAGACAATTATTTACGGGCATTATTTATAGTAAAGCCTGCCCATGCTGAGTCTCCCAAAGTGCTCCCCACAGGACCACAGGCTAGAATCCAGCTCATCTAGCCTCCTCTGTCACGGAAGTGTAGAGCAAGCTTAATCACAGGCGGACTCTGCGCCCTGCTCATGACAGATCTGTATAAAGGTCTATAAATACAAATTGAATAGACTATTTGATGGCACTAGGACAACTGGGGTTAATGGGCAGTTCCCAATGACAAGCACCCCTTGGGCTACTCCTGGAAGTAGTCCTCAGTGAGACAAGTCTGGGGAGAAGAGGGGGGAATTGGAAGTAGGACATGGCCACAGAGAATTGAATGCATTTTCTTCATGAGTCAACTGTCTATATCCATACAGGATTTATAAAAGCCTTTGCAAAGCTCCTTTCACATCCTGCTCACACACTTTAACATCGAGGCCAGAATGATGTTACTATCACAGAATCATAGGGCTGGAAGGGACCTCCAGAAGTCATTTAGCCCAACTGCATCCCTATCAAAACCATCCTATACAAATCCTTGTCTAACCTCTTAGCAAAACTACATGGTCAACACTGACACAACCACAAGGCATAACACCCCAACCTGTCACAAGAAAGCAAGGGGACCACAGCAGCCAACAGCCTGCTGCTGCAAAGTTTGTTAAAATAAGCTTGAGATTCCAGGAAAAGGCCACATCCCCTCCTGCAGAGGAAGACAAAGATCCATCCAGATACCAATCTGACCATTGGGTACAATTCCTTCCTGACTTCAAATATGGCAACCGGTGTGATCCCGAGTGGAGGGGCAAGACCCTCTAGCCAGGAACCTTCAGGTTTAAGTCTCAGCAGAAGCATTGGCACACCACAGCCAAAATCCCCAGCCTTGGCTACAGCCAACACGCAATGCTTCTAAGCAAGGCTTAAAAAAATCAAAAACAAGCCCTTGGACAGTCAAGACTTAGGAAACAGCTTCATCTCGATGGAAACGTGGGGGCTAATGTTATGTAAATACTACATCATATGAATCAGTTGGTTAATGAAACAAAGTTTTTGTTCAGTAAAATAATAACATTATATTTTCCATTTCAGGGATTAAACAGAAGTGCGTCCCTAAATAATACAGCATCCCAATCAATACAGTTCCATAAATTAACCTTAGTCCTTGAGAAGAGGATTGCCCTAGCAACAGAACTGATCTGCATGCCACTGTCTGGAAAACGTGTACTCTCTGTATACTACTTCACCCCAGGAACTAGCCAAAGGAACATGAAGGAGTCACTCTGATGGCTGAGTGTATGCACACACACTAAAATGAGCAGGACAGGGATGGTAAGGAAAGCAGATCTGTTATTACAGTCTGAGCTAAAGTCCACTGAAGTCAGTGGAAATGCATTCAAATAGCCACATCTCTCATTACCTCTCTCTCTCATATATATATCGCAATAAATATATAGTGAAATATTTATATTATTTCTATTATAAGGTATGCACTGTTTCTACATGGAAGGAACACCAAGGTTCTCATCTGCAAGGGCTTTCAAGGCAAAGGCCCTTTTCCTGCTGGTGTCCAAAAACTTGTGGGGAGCCTCATGTTTCTTTCTGAATTGTAATATTTAACTCTTATTAAATGGCATGCACATAGTGACAGGTGTGAACTACAAAGTGGTAGGTATCAAAAACATCAGCACAGTTCTTTAACAAGCATATCTATTATAATGGACCTTATACTGATCAACTACCATTTAGAAAAATCCTGAACAACAGAAGACAGGCTCCAGTGATCACTGCTTTTATGGGCTGCAATCTACCCCATGTTGATTTCCTTCAGCTTTGAGACAAAGTCATATTGCATAAATGGTCCTAAAGAAGGAATTACTTCCAACCAAATGAGACGGTCAAAGGAAGTACAAAGCAAAGCTGCTGGAACAATCTGTAAGGGTTTAGGGGGGGGGGGGGGGGGGGGGGGGGGGGGGGGGGGGGAGGTAGGGAGGTGTCTGTTGTCTTTAAATCAAAGCACAATTTAGTGCCTGGAAGGGGTGGGGGTGGGGGGGGGGGGGGGGGGTAGGGAGGTGTCTGTTGTCTTTAAATCAAAGCACAATTTAGTGCCTGGTTTGCTAAATTCTCAAAAGCATTAAAAATCTAGATTTCTCACTAATCAGACAACAGTACAATCACTAATTTACCTAGAGCCACCCTGCACTTAATCCAACAACTATCATAATGCTCAGACCTTAATTCATTAGATGATAAAGTGCTAAAGTTTTTGAAATTCAAAAAAAAAACCCACCTAGAGTTACCTTATAAGGCATAAGCCCATTTAAAACACAGAGTTTTTTTACACCACCTTTCAAAAAGATTAAACACCCTCTTCCTGAACTTTTAATTTTAATACTTTTGTTTGTTTATAAATGAACCATGCTGTGCACAGAATTTCCCAACCTCTTAAGTCAGATCATATATCAGAAATACCCAACTTTCCAAATACAGCAGAACCTCATTTATCTGAAGTGCCTCTTATCCCAATTCAAATGAAATATTTTACCTTGATGACAGTTAATGGAAAAGACCTCGTACTAAATTCAAGGAGTTTATATTACAAGATTCAGAAAAAACTCTAAAGCATATATATTTTAAAGTATTACCAACAAAAAAAAAAAAAGACTTAGCCAGAGACTTCCAATTCTTTTAACTAGCAATTTCTTGTTCCATGTTAACATATAATCCATTTTGTGTTGCTTTTAATTCAATGAGTACACTGCTTATGGGGGGCACAAGGCCATCTTCTAAAGCAGTGTTTCTCAACCTGCGGGATGCAAGAATATATGAAAGGGTTGCAAACAAAGGGTTGAAACAGTCACAGAAGAACGTGGAAAAACATGAATGTCACTTGGGAGTATTGTAGGGCCACATGCTGATATTGCTGTTAATGTTTTCCTGTTGATATGGATTTCTGTCATTAAAATTAAGACTTGTGAGCTGCTTTAACTTGTAGTGTGTAATAAGTATTTAGGGGCCAAAATACTCGTGTGTTTTCTACTTAAACTATTTGCTGAGTTGGGACTGGCCATTGACGTTTACAAATGGGTCCTGGTACAAAAAGAAGTTGAGAACCACTGTTCTAAGGGACACATCCCTGCATCATTACTAAAACCAGAACCAAACAATATGAATACCTCCAAAGCCCACTGTCAGTCTCTGAAACCTGGATAATCTTTGAGCTTAATAAAGCAGCACATGATTCATAGATGCTTTGTACAGTCCCTTGACAGACTCAGCCTTCCAGTTCATCCAGTCCTGACCATCTGCTCCAGGCCAGTATGTCTGATAACTCTGCCACTATCTAGCAGTCACTGGGATAGGGGAAGGCTGTTGTCTAAGGATACAAGCAGCTGTCTTAGGATGCAAGCCATATCCCATCAGACTTAGTACCTTATCTACCAAAGCCTTCAAAGTGCCTGAAGGAAGAAATGTATAGAACTATAACCCCCTTCCCCCCACCCCACATTTTTTCTTTTTAAATTATTCATTTGGGTCCGAGGTAAGCACTTCATTCTACCCAAAAGAAAAAATGTCACATGTTTGAGATGTTTTGCTTTTAAACGAAGCAAGTTCGAATACTTTCCAAAGACAATATAATTTCAAAACAAAGTTAAAACACTTTGTTTCAAAGGATGTAAATCCCAAACACTTGGACTGTACTTAAAACACAAAACCAAAACCCTAAGTCCCTATTCACTGAATTCACAAACAGTCTCAGTCGCACTAAGACTGACTCTTTCAGTAATATTCATCCAAGCATTTTTTCTGGTTGCAGTAGCATGTCTAGAGCCATGGGCTGTGTTGGAGGCACATGAACCGCAGGGGGCACTGTGCTTTCAGTGCAAAGAAGGACCCCTGTTCTGGTGTGCAGCTCTCCCCTGGTAAGGGCGAGAGCCTTGGCCTGACCCTCCCTCCTTGCTTGGAAGGATGCAGGAAGGAGTCCCTGCATCTCCTGAACCAAAGGACCGGCATGGAAGTGGGGACTACATTAGAAGCAAAGGGGGGGGGTTGCATGCCCAAGCAAAATGTCTGCTACAAGCAAGCGTCTTTTTGTGATGTCTTTTATTGGACCAACTGAATAGTTGGGAAAGATGTTAGACAAGATTTTGGGCACCAAGTGCCCTTCATGGAAAAGAAGCCTGTACAGCCTAACCTAAGTAACAGATAAGCAATAAGCACCTCTCCCAACTATACAGTTAGCCCAATAAACAAATATTATCAAAAAACCCTTGCTTCTTCCATATTTCCCGGATCATCACGGCTACAACAATACTCCAGCCTTACTACGAAGTCTGCCCCTTGGAAATTAGCCCTCCTGAGAAAACTACCTATTCTTAACTGATAAAGCTGTGAGCCGTGAAATGGATGGTGGTAGAAATGAGACCATTTCCCCAGGCACCACACAGCAGTTCACTTCCACCCATTACTGAAAACACAACAGTTGACTGCTAATAACCATCAATACAAATGTTTCGAATGCCCTAAACCCACAACTAAGGATGTCCATCATCTTTACCAGGGAGAATGATGAACGCTGCAGACTAATGTCAAAGGCTCCCATTTGTGTGGTTGAAAATCTTTTCCCCAAAGGCTCCACCCCACAAAATTGGCCAGAGGGGCCTTCATGAATGATTGAGACAGCCAATCAGACAAGCCGCCTGACATAAATGGGCTCTGAGTGGCAGCTAAAATGGCTCCCACAAAGCACGCTGGGAGCTGAAGGACCTCCACCACACCTGCCCAGAAGATCTGCAGATCCCTTCTGAACACCTGGCTGCAAGGAGACGCTCTGCCCTTGAGATTAAAGTACAAGCTATACAAAGCTTTCTGTTGTCTCTTTGGCACATTATGTTGCCTTTGGACGTAGGCAGTTTCTGTTATTCTGTGGCTTAGTGCATCTTGACCTAGGCAGAGTTTGATTGTTTCTTTGTCTTGTACTTAAAACTGGTATTGAGTACAACAATTGAAAGCTCTCTCCAGAGAATGGACTATTCTTGTCCAAACAATTTGTGACTTCAGTGCCATCACCTGAAGTCTAATATCAAGTCCAGGAGAGTCTCAGAGGATAGGGGCCCTGATGATCCAAACTCTTCATCCTGTAACTTCTCAGCACGTCACTCTGTTAGTTATAACTGATTTAGCTGCATATCTGTTATACATCAAGCCGTTTTCACATACTCAGGTTCCTTTTAGAATTAATTTCATTACCTCAGCTATAGTATTGACACAGGACTATTCATCCTGCGGCCTGAAATCTGCTCCACTAGTTTCATCACAACGGAATGGAAATGCATTCTCACTGTTAACCCACTAATCTTAGCTATAGAAAAACCACTAAGTGGCAAGTCATTGATTTATTTGTCTGTGGATTCATTTTGCAAAATGCTTTGTTGGTGAAACTGAGCTCGAGTTTGCAGAGAAATTGAAAGATGCAGATAATCATTTAAACTGAATGAAGTGTCACAAGAACACAGATAAAACAGGATTCCCCACCCCCACACCCTGCTCGCCTCTCTCCATTTGCACAGGAGGAGCCGAAAGCAAAAAACAAGCTGCAGGATCGGGACCTAAATGCAGATGCAAAAGAAATCCAACAAATCCCTCCTGGGTGGAAACCAAAGTGGGAAGAACATCTCCCTAAACTTCCCAAAGGGGACAGGCACACACAGCTTCCACCAACTTTAGCAGCACGGTGGGTAGACGATACATCAAAATCACAAGTTGCTAGTGGAAATGGTTTTATGGCTGAAAAATGCAATTTCTAAGAAAAAATTATGCAAATCATGTTGAGGTTGATGAATCAAAACTGTGCATTTTATTTGGTTTTGTTCTTCATTTTCCATGTGAGCATGGGTGGGGGCAGGGGGGATTGAGCTTCCAGCTTGTCACATGTTGCCCTGTACAGGACACCTAACCTTCTCCCCTCCCTACCCCATCCTGAACAACTAGGAAAATTCAAACCCAAATGACAGTAGGTTCAACTGTCAAAATGATTGTGATATTTCTTTTTGTCATTTGACACAAAACATTTTGCTCAGATGCTTTCAACAGGAAACATCTTTAGAATCTTTGACAGATGAGCAAATTCCAAAAACAGCAATTCTGGGGTTTTGGAGGGCTTTTTTTTAACTCAAAAATTCCATTTTTGGCAAGTGTTTGATGCTTTTGTAAACAATCTCATGGCCTAAATGTAGACTAAATGACTTAAGCCAATTTTTCAACATGGACTTTCACTGATTTCATCCAATACATTTAACAGGAGACATTTCTCCCTACTAAAAAGTCCTATGGAAATGCTGAAGGAACTGTGTTGGCTGTCTTACCTCAATGCGTTGAAGACTCCTGCTGGGTCCTGTTTACAGGCTATCAGTGCATTAACAATGCACACAACATTGATGGGGAGGCACGAGCAGGGATCTTCAGAAGCTCTTTGGGCACTGTAAGTAGTCAATAGGTACAAAAATAGGTCAATTAAGTGTTTTGAGGGAACAGAAGTGAATTTTAATAGAAATACATATGCATGCATCATAACAGGAAAAAATCAATATGCATCAGTTTTAAAAGGGACTGTGGTGTATGTATTCTTAAACGCACGAGTGGTTTTGAAAGATGCAATAGAACAGTCCATTCTAATTAAGCTGGATGACAAACGAGATGAGTTTCATGGAAGCATGTAGAAAAAATGATGAGTCTTTGTTGGGTATACCATTTTAATCACCAAGAAGCAACAAGAATCCAACATTCAGGACACTGCCTCTCCTATCTGAGGCTTTCATCATAATTTAGGCAAGGGATCACTTCAATGCACATTCCATTTGGCTCTACATCAGACTTTGATACAAAAGCTTAGCTTAGCCATGGTCTTCACAACTGATTATTGTTACCGTCACAGGGCACTGAATGCTCAGATCCCTTAAGCATTAACTAAGACAGTTACTAACATGAAACCCGGGTTATAGTATAGTACTGAGCACTCCCTCTGAAAGTTAAGGTGCTACAAGTTGTCTTGAGTTGGCTACCCAAAAATAAGTGAACTCAAAAGCACAAGTCACTTCTAAACATGTTTGCCATGACAGACAATACTAGTCTCACGATTACTTTTTATTCCAGTGGAAAGCGCTTCTTCAAGCTTTTCCCAGAAGTGTCTGTTACTCAGCATAAAAGTACTGACAACTGGAAAGCAAACCCAATTCTCATTGTTCCTGCATGGAGAAATACAAATGATAAAAATCACCACCACAAACACTGGTTTGTACATTGGATTTCTGGAGTCTTCCTTCATGAATTATCTCAGGTGTTACCAGGAACACACAGAACATCAGGCAAGGAACGGTTTCTGTTAATAATGGATGATGTTTCAGTTAACGAGGCTCCTTGGAGCCGCTGGAGTTCCTTGCCATCTCAGTTCTGGTACTGAGGGTAAGATCGGGTCTATAACCTTTTCCTTGCTATAACAGGAATGCTGGGGAAACTAGGATTGTGCAGTAGCCAAGGTCTCCAAGCTAACCAGTCACGAAGCAAGCACGGCACACCATAGAAAAATAAAAGGAAGATGTGAGCAGTGTGAAGACAGCTCCAAAGGTGAAGAAGAGTCTTAGGGGGGAAGTCTGAGGCTAAAAAAAGCACAGCAGACTACACACAACTCGAAGGAAGTGAGAGGAATCACCATGTAGCAGGGGCCGGCAACTGCAAGAGAGACAACATACCCCTGCAGGACCTTGCAACAACCTGACTAAATGGGTGTAGACAAGAAGCAGCCCAGGAGAGGCTGAAAAGAATGAAGTTCACTGGAGAAAAATTACAATCTCAGGGCCCTGGACTGGGACCCCATGGAGTGTGATGGCCCAAGTCCCCCACCTCCAGCCTCTCAGACCCACAAACCTGTGAAGATGATGTTCTGGGTTTCAACAAGGTTAATAGATAAGAGAGTTTTATTCTTCACCTGCCTGGCAGGACGATACTGAACTGTAAATGATACTGACCCTGACCCACCCACCAAGAGCCTTTGACAAGGACTATGTGCGACTGACCCACAACAAGGGCCACAGAGAGTTCAGGCTTAATTTGCACTACAAGGATCGTGCTCTCAATCTCAATTCATCTCCTCATTCCTGTCAGTCACACCGGGGTCATCCACATGCCCCAGGATTGCGTTAACTTGGGTGTTTCTGCCTATAATTTCAAGAGGGAAGTTCAGCAATTGGGATGGGAATGGCTGTGGTATAGGATAATGCCCCTCTTCTCTGCAAATGCTGCCAACCGCACTCCTGCATCCAGAGCTCCTCCTGGAGTGGATCCAGATCCAGCTCAGCACTACTGTAAAGAGGCTCTGGAGTAATCATGAATGGGACCTGTAGTGCCAGGGAGAATGGGGAGCCAAGATAGTGTCCCACAACTGTAAGTAAACGTGTATCCCTGCAAGTACACATCCCCATGTGTACAATCACCCAGTCCCTCCTGAGAGAGCAGCTGGCCACGATATCCAGCCCTGGAATCCTTTTCCCCTTAATATACGAGAACAAGGCTGAAAACATGTTTACCCCAAATGTATCCTAGCCAGAGAGATGGTGTCAACAAATTCAAAGCCAGAAACTTAAATGAGCCTCTCTACCCACTCTATGAGAAGTAAGGCCTGTATCCCACCTGCTCAGCCAATGTATGGCAGGAGCTAAAGTGAATGCTAGGAACGAAACATAAATTAAACAGTGACTGTGTGCTATTTAATAGGATTCATGTTGAGCAGGGAATGAAGAGAAAAAAAAAAAAAGGGAGATTTAGGTTTGCTGGTTTACTGGAAAATTGTGAGGAAAACTTCATGCAGCGGAGGGAAGCAGATCTTGATTCTCTTGCTTCAACTGATCAATCCCCACTTCAGCAAGACTACCCCTCATTAACTACTCAAATTAAGAGTACCATATTTGATTGGATTGGATGATCAAAATCAAAAGAACCAATACATTTCCAAATTTTTATTTTTAAACTGGAGGATGGGAGCCTTCAGACGGCCTAAGGAGGGTGAGTCTGGCTCTATTACCGAGTGCCCTGCTGTTGTCATAGACTAATATATATTATTTTTATTTTTTTGACTGATGCTGGCTCAGTTTTTCAACATTGGCAAGGGGTCTGGGAAGCCCATTTCTAATGGGAACTGAATGCTCAGATCCCTTAAGCAGCTTTGAACTTTTCAGTTGTAAAATATATCGGCATCAATCACTTTAAATGGTTACTGAGAATAGTAGATGGGACATGTTTTGGAGAAGTCTAAAAGCCTGATTCAGCACTCAGCAGCATTCTTGCAAGCCAAGCTTCCACGGAAGCCATCAGAAGCTTGGCTGGATTGAGGGCTGCGGGAGCAGGCCTGTAGCATAAAATGAACAACAATTTAAATTTTCCTTGATCTGCTGATGATGTTTTGTAGAAGTGAAGGGTTTTTTACACTGAAGCCTTCAAGGAGGGGAGAGAGATCAGAGTGCCATACAAAGGCCATCATCAGTTTCCTTTGTTCAAAGATCTCTCGGGAAGGAGAGCAAATGGAATCTAAGTCACAAGCTCTGCACAGGGCTCTGAAACATGTTTTTAGAGAGAAGGATGTCCACTAACCTAGGGCTCCGGAGACCTGGGTTCAAGTCACTGCTCTGCCCCAGACTCCCTGTGTGATACCTGCTTCAATTCCCTACCTGGAAAGAAGAGCAGTAGCCCACCTCAGGGGAGCTGGGAAGATGACCGCATTAAAGAGACTGTGAAGAGTTCAGATACTGCAGCATAAGGTGTGAATACCTAGAGTGGATAAATAAGGAAAACTGAACTCTATGTCAATATTTTAGGAAACTGAGACATAATTTTGGATCAAAGTTTTCTCTTCTTAAATAATCGAGGCATTACAGTCAACAGACAGTCCAGAATAGGATATAATGCAAACATTATATCAATAGCACATAAAAATATCGCTGAAACAGTGCCAAAGTCCAGATAATTGTTGGTTCTTGCTCAGATAAGTCAATTAACAAAATATATATCAGCCCCTGACTGCTTGCTGGCAATTCCATACTTAAAAATCAACTTCTAGCACAAAATTAGAAGCTAGGACTTTCAATACCTGGCCCGTGAAGTCACTGTCCCCAAATCAAGTCTACTCTATTCCTTCTAGGCACAGAGCAGTGGCAGTAGAAGACCTGATGTCCTTTCCCAAGCATTGCCCATTATATTAGGCAGGGAATAGATGCCCAGTGCTTTGACAATAACTCTGCCAAAGTGAAATCAGGGTGCACAAACCAGGCATCCAGAGGTGTCTTCACAGGCTAAGGCCTCTTGCTGACTATAACAGCCAAGCCTATTCAGTGTCCCCTCAGGGGGCTCAACACACCCATGTCATAAGGAGAGGGGAAAGATGGGAGCCAGCACCTCTGGAGTCAGCCCTGTCTACGTTGTACCCTGTCTGGAGGAGCAAGGTGTGGACTCCTCCAGTCATCTGCATGGGTGCCACAGCTCTTGCAGAGTGGAGCTAAACAGGTGCTCCTGCTTCGAGCTGCAGAGAGGGGTTGCAGACATACATTACACCAAAGCAGGGAAAGCACCTGGGTCCCCAGCATGGTCTTATGTCCCTTTCAGCATGGGAGTCGCATGCTATATATCAGGGGTGCTCAAACCCTGGCCCATGGGCCAGACCTGGCCTGTAGGGCTGTGTCATCTGGCCTGCAGGCCTACCTACAGGTCCAGAAATTTGGCAAGGGGAGAACAGTGGCACCGCTCCCCTGCTGCCAAATCCCCAGAGCCATAGGAAAGCACAGGTGCTGCACACTGGATGGGATGCCCAATCCCAGTATGCAGGGCTGGGCAAAGGCAACACTGGGGCCCAGAGGCCAATCCTCATGTGAGGGGCCAGGAGAGGGCAGCGCCAGGCCATCAAGACCCAAACTTAGTATGCACAGCAGGGAGTGGGTTATGCCAGGCCCCAATCCAGCCCTGTGCCACTCATCTGGCCCACAGGGCCAAAAGGCTGAGCACCACAGCTACATATCTTCATGAAGACCTCAGCATGAAGAACAGGTAGAGCTGAAACACTGCACTAATACACCCACCAGGGGACCCAGGGCACTTGTGGAGCATCTGTCAATATGTGCATGCTGCCAGGTGCTGTTCTGGGTTCAGCTCATGCAGTCAGACCTGAGCTGGATTGCCAAACTCGGGCAGGCAGGCAGGCAGGGAGCGCCACACAGACTAACCAGAATCAATTATTCACTCAGCTCCTGGGCCATTCTGAGCTAGCACCGCCTTGGTTACACTGCTACCAGTTCCCAAGGCAATTAGCATTGCTTAAAGCTAGCTCATGTAGGTCTATGCCAGGTGCAGTCATAACACTGACTGCAGTGCAGACAAACCCTGGGACTAGCCCTTCATCACATGGCTTGATAAATCTCCATTTGCTGTCCACATTTAC